CCGAAATGTCCCATGAACAGGATTGGGCGAGAACAAACAAACAGATGCCGGCTGGGGAAACGGGGAAGGCTTGGTTTCTGTAAACTCTTCTTTTACGGGCACTGCATGGTCAGGTCAGCTCTTCAGGCTGCCCCCTTTAGGCTCAGTCCTCCATGATCACAGAACCCAGCTCTCAAATGCCCCGGCGGCTTTTCCATATCAGATATTTACGTTACGATTCATTACAGTAGCAAAATTACAGTTATGAATTAGCAATGAAAATAATTTTATGATTGCGGGTCACCACCACATGAGGAACTGTATTGAAGGGTCGCGGCATTAGGAAGGTTCAGAACCACTGATCTAGAGACTGGATTTTGGTTTGCTTGCTGCTATCTAACAGAACAGTACCTGAGAGTATGAACTTATAATAATAGGTATAAATGGTGGTATCATTGTTACTATATTTAAACACCCATGGTTGGCAAGAACGTGCTAAAGTCTGAATATAACATAGTAAACTATATCACTGTCCCTGCCCAGACCACCTGTTACTGAAAGGACATACTAACTTGATGAGGAAGATGGCAGATGTGATGGTTTGGAGATAAATGCTACTTCATTCCTGACTCACACAGAAAGAGGTTTAGGATGTTGGCTCTGTATTCTAAAGAGTATCTAGCAGTTTTCATCTTTTATATTAACTTTACACATTTTTTATTAAAAGTGTATGCTTATTATTGTATCTCTTTTTAGTTTTCCTCACGGGAGGAAAAGCAAATACGGTACTAAAACGCTACCCAAGAGCTAATGGACTTTTTGAAGAAATAAGACAGGGAAATATTGAGCGTGAATGCAAAGAAGAATTCTGCACATTTGAAGAAGCAAGAGAAGCTTTTGAAAATAATGAAAAAACTGTAAGTATGTTGTCATTTAAAATTTTTTTTTCACAGATTTGCCTACCTTTGTGATACATGTTTGAAATCTGCATTCCCAAATGGTATGCATTGCTAGCAATTAAAAGTTACCCTTGTGAAGAACTCTGAAAGTGGCATCTGACAAACTACTGTATGGATTGAGGGCTAGATTCACATCCCTGTATGTTGGCCTATCTGTGCAGGTCTCCTTTTCATAGGACTCTGCTGAACTGACATTTGTCCTCTTAGCAAGGGGAAGCAAGTGTTTGTTTCATAGGAAGCTTCATTCAGGGAAAGTTATAGTTGACATCATCCCCTTACTCTGTCTAATCAGAGAGAAAGTGTGGAGGAAGCTAATAGATACTGACACTAATTTAAAATTGTTTACTTCTCCTACCAAAGAAAATACTTACCTGAACTCCTCTCCCCACTCTGTGAGAACAGTCCTCTTCACCTCTCTTTACACTAGTCCACAGGCTATTCAAGGAGAGCAAGGATAGGAAAGCACAAGGCAGTGGTATAAATTCTATAGAACTGCTTTGAACTTCTAAATTGTATTGCAGGAGGTAGCCATTATATAAAGATGCATTCCTGTGTGCCATGAAAATAACACTTGATACTAAACAAGGGATGTCAGATGTGTTAGAGGGACATTAAATTTTATCACAGAAGTAAAATGTTATGGTGAAGTTTTAAGGATAGGGGCTTTTATCTCGATAGATAGAGAGGAACCCAGAGGTAAAAGAGTTCAAGGTCTAAGAGCTCAAGGTTGTTCCTAAGTATTATTCTGTTACTATTGTAAATGGAATGTTCTTTTCCATGGTTATTATGGATTTGTGTAAGCTACTGAGTTTTTAAACCTTATCTATATATACAAAAGCCTAAGCGACCAAACAACCAAACGACCAGAACGACCTGAATAACTGGTCGCTATGATGCACACAAACCACCAGGCATAAGACGTTCAATGCAGTAGCTGCCCCCACAGTGGGAGTGCCACTCACCTGAACTACCCGTCTCAGTGGCCCACCAGCCCGGTGCCAGCCACTCACTCCCTTAGTAGTCCTGCAGGTCCAATCTTCGAAGAACGGGACAGGCACTGAAGGACCGGCTCTGCCGGCATGGTCCTGACAGCACTGATGGGCTCTTGAAGTCAGCCTCAGGCACTGCAGCTGTTTCCCCTCCCTAGATGCTCCACAAGGAAAAAACAATATAAAAGTGGCCACCAGGTGGTTCCTGACAAGCAGCGCTAATGTCAGTGGCTCAGATCAGTATCCTGGGCCAGCAAGGGTGTCCCATGACCTGTCTGGAGGGCCAGTTGTGTCCCAACCTTCCCCTACCCCCTTGGGAGCCCACCCATGCATGAATTCGTGCACCAGGCCTCTAGATGAATTATAATTGACACAAAAGGCCCAATGCACAAAATTCCCTCAGCCTGGTCTGTGCCCTCTCACAATCTGGGACCCCTCACTCCTAACCACCTGCCTGTTTGCTCCTAACCACCTGCTTGCTCACTCCTTACTGCCTGACTGCTCGCTCATAACCACCCTCCTGCTCGCTCCTTACCATTTGGCTCGCTGCTCCTTACCACCTGCCTGCTTGCTCCTTACTGCGTGGCTCACTACTCCTTACCGCCTGCCTGTTCACTCCTTACCGCTTGGGTTGCCACTCCTTAGTGCTGCCACGGAGGTGGGAGAGGCTCCCACCACTGCTGCTGTGCTCACCAGCCATGAGCCCAGCTTCTGGATGAGCAGCACTCCTGCTGTGGGAGTGCACTGACCACCAGTGTGCAGCTCCTGCATTGAGTGTCTGCCCCCCTGGTGGTCAGTGTGTGTCATAGCAACCGGCTAGTCTGGTCATCTGGTTGTTCCACCATAAAGGTTGCTGAGCTTTTATATATACATATATGTATACCATTAACCATGCATATTTCATGTATACAAATTGGTAAATATATATACTAGAGGCCCAATGCATGAAATTCGTGCAAGTGGCTCGGCCTTTGCAGCTGCGGGACTCTCGGCCCTCGCAGCCCTGGCTTCATCTGGAAGGTCATCCAGACGGTCGTCCAGAAGGTTGTCTGGACGGTTGTTCTGCTGTTCAGTCTAATTAGTATATTAGTTCTTTATT